CTTAATACCCTTTCGAGTCCGGGCCCGAGTAAGTGCTTCGGATCTCTTGGCTTGCTTAATACCCTTTCGAGTCCGGGCCCGAGTAAGTGCTTCGGATCTCTTGGCTTGCTTAATACCCTTTCGAGTCCGGGCCCGAGTAAGTGCTTCGGATCTCTTGGCTTGCTTAATACCCTTTCGAGTCCGGGCCCGAGTAAGTGCTTCGGATCTCTTGGCTTGCTTAATACCCTTTCGAGTCCGGGCTCGAGTAAGTCTCTAGGTTCGTGGATCCGAACCCTTTCGAGGCTTAGAGCCATTCAGCCCGTTTGACGGCGATAAATCCAAGCCCACCAATCTTGGACTTGCGATAAATTCGGGCCCACTAATCTTGGGCTATTGGGCCTAAATAATTTAGTGGGCTTAAATTAGCTCCTCTTACACTTTCATTGGCAAATTCTGCTTTTGGAACCAGGCGTGCATATGCATATCAATGATACATACAGACCTCAGATCTTTGCTCCATAGTTGGATATATAAGTAGTTGGATCTACTTGTCTCTCTTTATAGTACTAGCGAACACTATTTTTTTACTTAAAAACGTTCACTTTGAGAAGTGAGCTTCCATGTACAGACAATTAATAAATTTGCGGATAAATTGGAGAGACTCCTTAATTTATTATAAAAACGGTAATGTTATATGTACTAATTAGTATATTAACTAGTGTATTAACACTAGTTATAATATTATTATTGACCTTATTTATTATACAAATTACAAATATAAAAAATATTTTAAATTATATCACATCATCAATATACACTAATTAGGGGACTAATTGGTGCATATAACATTATTCTTATAAAAAACAATTAAAAGGGGGAGTCTAGATAGATTGGACATTTAAAATTAATAGCTAACAGTATTTATTCATTTCTCATGAATAACCTTCCGAAAGATGCCTGATCAAATCATCCAAATCTTTCGATGAACTTCCACCTTCTTTAATGGCTTCCAATGCAGCCTCACGCAACTCTATAACTCGAACCAATTCAACCCGGTTCTTGCATACTACATCCACTAATGACTGAGCCAACTCATCCGAGTTCGGAACAGCTTCAGCACCCTCACAAACTCGAGTTGCCAACCTAAGCTCATCCACTAACAATTTTGCACTTACAAACTGGTCAGACCCCATGGGCCAAGTTAGCATTGGCACCCCAGCAAATATTCCTTCTACGATCGAGTTCCACCCACAGTGAGTCAAGAATGCACCCACAGCTTGGTGACTCAGGATCAACACCTGTGGAGCCCACTCTCTTATAACAAGTCCCCTCTTTGCCACACGATCTTCAAATCCAGATGGAACCACACCATATTGTCCCTCCACGTGTCCTTTGATGAGCTCCTTAACGCACCATATAAACTTGACCCCACTTTTCTCCAACCCTAGTGCTAGCTCCTCCATTTGCTTGTTTGTCAACAGTGCTTGACTCCCAAAACACACATACACAACCGTGCGATCTTCACACGTGTCAAGCCAAGTCAATACATGGCTTGGCAGCACAGAGCTGGACCCACCTCTCTCAATTAGGCCAGATTGATCATCAATAGGAGGGAGTAATGGCCCAACAGCCCAAACCCGATCATGGCCCAATATCTCCATTAGATGGTCCAAATAAACCCGTTCCAACTCATTAAACGAGTTAACCACGAGTCCCCAACTCGCCATATTAGACAAAAACCCATCTTTGATGAATTCCGAAACAGGGTCTCCTTCCACGTAGCTACGATACGTGACAGGGAGCTGCCACCAAGGGTAAATTGGACAATTTGGTACTCTTGGAAACTTGATCAAAGCCTTCTCATCATTTGGATCGTCTCTCTTCGGCTGGTATCTCCACATTGAATCAAAAACTGACAAGAACACAGCACTAGAAGGAGAGAACATGAATCGCCGAATACCGAGCTGGCAAGCAAGGTGGTGGGTCCACCCCAATAAGAAATCGGAGACGATGATCACCGGCGGCGAAGGGTGGTTCTGGAACCACTCTAGGAGAGGATTGTAGAGTTCACCCAAGGCGTGTATTATAGCACGAATGCCAACAAAAGGCATGTCTTTGGCATTCTCTACGCCATGGGGGAGGGAAGGGTGCGCAGGGAAAGGCAAGACGAGAGTGTGGATGGAAGGGTGTTTGGAAAGAAGTGGGGGTGAGGAGAGAGGTTTTTGGGTTAGGTCCAGAAGTGGCATGATGTGCCCCTGCGCAGGGTAAGGGAACACATATGTGCTATCTCCGGTGGTCGTCATAGAGTCAGCAATATCACAATCTAAAGAGTAAATATACAATGTGTTTTGTGTATTTTGACGTGTGAAGAGGGGTAGATTTAGGAAATCTAAATGCACAAATATTTTCAAATAATGGGATATAAATTATGAGATAAAAAGTGTGAAACTTATCAGGTGTTTCATATCTATGTTTGATTCTGTAAATATATTTCGTGTTGATGATAGCGGAACTGGGGCATATGTTGAAACAGTGTTGGAGGGGGTTGGTTGGATTGGAGTAAGTGGAGAACCAGATACTCTTTCTGGTGGACATTTTGTATTATCATTTTAGTGCATGAGTTTTAATTTGGTAGATGCTCGCGCAGTGCTAATTAACCATTGATTAATGTTTATATATATATATATTAATAATTTTACTACTGCCCGTCCCATCCCATAGAATATGATTTAGGATTTTAAACAAAAGTTTAAAATCTAAATCCGCACATGAATCCAATCCATCTCGACCACTCCATAAGCCAGACTCAAACTCTTCCGTCCAAAAAAATTAATATTGTCCAAAATATAATACTGTTAAATTCAATTGTAATCTATTAAAATCAATACTGTTTCATTTTTTTTTTTAAAAAAAAGGAAAGTACACAAAACATAATTTGTTAAAATTGAATTTGACAGTGACAGGTGATATCCCCTTAACTCTTGACATACAACATTGTCATAATTTGTTAATTTGGTAAATTTATGCTTTAATTTGATTATTTTAATAGTATTACTTATTTGACCATATGAATTATTAAAAGGAAAATTTAGCCAAAACTCCTCTATTGAACCCTTATTTTGGTGAAAATGATAGCCTAATTTATTTTACTTGATAAACCCCCTAAGGAGAAAACACATAATTGAAAAAAAGACAAAGTAAAATATCTTTCTTTTTTTTTTTGGACAATATTGCCAGATGTAACATGTTACTGCCAAAAGAATAACATGTTACTATCAAATAGAGTAACTGTCAAACAGAGTAATATTTTATTGTGAGACAAAGTAATATGTTGTTGTCAAACAAAATAGCATGTTACTGTTACTGTTTACATCAATTTCGACAGTAATAAATTTTTTTTTAAAGAATTTCATAGTTAAATGGATCTTATTTGATAGATCTTGATGAGAGAATTTTAAAAATACTAATTTTATTAAAAACTGATATCTACATCAAAAGTTATATTGTTTTAAAATTTAATATTTTGATAATAATGATATGTGTTGAATTTTTTAAGAATTTTTTTTTTGGTATTTATCCTTAATGCATTAAAGTTTTATTATGAAAGAATTTTGACCAAATCGCCCGTTAAAAATCCCAAATGAATTCCATAAAAATCACTTCATTCCATCCTTGACTACTTCAATTTAATTCATTTCTCAACTATGGATTCCCTACCTAGATAACAATGTTGGGTTAATCTTTTTTGTTGGGTTAAATTAACACAATGCCAAATATAGAGTTTAGAAATTGCTTTCTAATGCATAGAATAATGGGTTAAATTAATCATGTCCAATTAAATTAACCTTGTTTATGGTGGTTTCATGTCACCCCTTGTGTTTACCTTAAAATTAAAAGTTTTACGTGAAAAGCAAAGTCGTTTTAAAGTTGTGCCCATGGTTTGTAGTCACATATAGCTATCATGCAATAAACTAATACGAATTTAATAATAACCATCTTGTTTCAATATGATAATGATGTTCCTAGAGACCAAGTTACAAAATAAAAGTTGGTTCATGGGATAATATAGAATAAATATTGTGTACAATTGTCATACTATTTTACTTGCAAATATTAGCTAAAAAAATACTGTAAGTGAGATTAAGTACAGTGTTTCTCATCTTCCATTGCCGAATCATGCAATTCCTAATACCACAGCATAAAATTTCTCATTAATTGATAATATCGTCTCTTAGTATCACCATTATAACCAAAACATTTTTTTGTTGTGGGAGAGCTAAAAGCAAATAAATCAGTTTGAAATGACTTCTCCTTTCAAAAAAAAAAAAAAAAAAAAAAAAAAGATTTTTTGAAAATTGAGTAGGTTTGGTTTCAGTTTTCTGAAAATTGAAAATTGAGTTTTTTATTTTTCGTATTTTTTATTTTTAGTGAATATTTTTTAAATTTTAAGTAATTTTTTACTTTTTGAGATGCACTTGACTTAGATGTATCTAAATAGTAAAATATTTGTGAAAAAATATTTTAAAAAATTAATAAATACATAAAAATATGAAAAATATACTGAATTTTTATATTTTTTGGTATTTAGTATATTTTTTTAAAGTTTTTTCACAAATAATATATTTTTTGAAGTGCGTTTATGTTAGGTGTGTCTAAAAATTAAAAAAATTATTGAAAATATTAAAAAAATTCATTAAAAACATTAAAATAAGAAAAATAAAAAAAAGTAAAATTTTTTAAAAACTGTTTTTTTTGAAAATCAGAACTGAAGCAAATTTGTAAAAATATGATTTTACTCTCAATATTTTTAGATATTTCCCCCATCTTTACAAGAGCTTCACAATACTATGACCCCGTTTGGTAGAGTTGTGGGAAAGTGATTATAACTTATAACGGCCCCGTTTGGTAGAGCTGTGGGAAAGTAATTATAGCTTATACCTTAACAGCTTATAACTTATAATTGTGAACATAAGCTGATTTTTAACTTATAAATTAAGTTTCTCCTCTCCCACTCAAAGAATAAGTTGATTTTTGATTTACAAAAAGTTATAAGCTGTGTTGTTAAGCTGAACCAAACACATCAAAATAGCTTAAATTAAGCTAAAAGCTGAAATAAGCCCTACCAAACAGGGCCAACCTAACAGCTTATAGCTGTGAACATAAGTTGATTTTTGACTTATATATTAAACTTCTCCTCCCTACTCAAAAAATAAATTAATTTTTAACTTACAAAAAATTATAAACTGTATTGTTAAACTGAATCAAACATATTAAAATAGCTTAAATTAAATTAAAAATTAAAATAAATTAAAAATAAGTCCTATTAAACAGGGCGTATATAAAAGGTAATATGATAACGCTATTATAAAAAAAAAGAATTTTTTTTAATAATTACTAGACACGTTAATTTTTTTATATTAAAAAAATGGAAAATGTTTGATGGCCCGAAATACCTGGCTCGAATGCCCCGAATGCCCAAAACGACGTCGTTTTGGGCATTCGGGGCATTCGAGCCAGGTATTTCGGGCCCTCAAACATTTTCCATTTTTTTAATATAAAAAAATTAACGTGTCTAGTAATTATTAAAAAAAATTCTTTTTTTTTATAATAGCGTTATCATATTACCTTTTATATACGCCCTGTTTAATAGGACTTATTTTTAATTTATTTTAATTTTTAATTTAATTTAAGCTATTTTAATATGTTTGATTCAGTTTAACAATACAGTTTATAATTTTTTGTAAGTTAAAAATTAATTTATTTTTTGAGTAGGGAGGAGAAGTTTAATATATAAGTCAAAAATCAACTTATGTTCACAGCTATAAGCTGTTAGGTTGGCCCTGTTTGGTAGGGCTTATTTCAGCTTTTAGCTTAATTTAAGCTATTTTCCTCCTTCCCTTCTTCTTCTTCCTCCTTCTTCTCAAATTCGAGCCAAATTGGCTCGAAAGGGTTTCGGGCTCTGTAGCAGAGCCGTAAAAAAATAAAAAATAAAAACAGCTACTAGACAAACCCACCCAAGATGGCTTTAGACATTCCAAAGTTTATTACATGACACGTGTTTGTCTTGTAAGATTTCCGTATCTGTCTCTATCTTCAACAGTTGTCCCATAAACTGAGTTATTCACACAAACAGAGTTTATTCTGGACCATACGATGTTGGCTGGGTTTTTAGTTGGTGTTTATTTAGTGTCATTTGGAGAATATGATAAAAAGTCACGTTTTTGAACAAATTATCAAAAATTGTGGCTGTCAAAAATGTTAGAAAAGTTATTTGGCAAGTGTTAAAAACACAGCTATAAAATTACAAATTAGGGCCTATGAAAAAAAATAAAAAAATAAATCTCTTATGTTGGGTAAGAGTATTTTGATCATTTTAATTTGATTTGACACCATAAATAAATATTAAACTAAAAAGTAAAAAGTCAGCTTGTTACCAACTTCCCAAATCACTTTCAAAAAAATCAAAAAACTTGGTAAAAAGTCAAAAGTCAACTTTTTACCAACTTCCTAAAACAATCCTTAGTTTCTTTTAGAGTACACGGTTCACAATTTATGTTGAGAGTGAGAGAATAATATGAGACTAAGTAATTAATGATTGATTTAAAATATGACTACGAGATGATTCGAAATTATTGAATAATTATTCCTTTTTTAATAAGTAGTTATATAAGTTTTTATTTTATATATTTTTTTTAGATATATCCGAATAACTTATATAAGTTTTTTGAAGATATCTTAATTATCTTCTCTTTGGTAGCAGAGAAAGTGGAGTGAAAGAGATGAAAAAATATCTTCAATCCCAAAGAATATCTTCAACAAATGAAGGAAGTGGAGTAAAATAAAAGAATATTTTTACTCATATTATTTAGAAATTTGGGAATAAATAAAAAAAGTCATATATATACATGTCTATATATATATATATATATATTTGTCTTTAATGACATTTTTTCAAAAATTTTTATTTTCCCAATTAGTCTTGTGTAATGAATCTAATAAGTAATTTTTTTTCGAAAATTTCCAAAAATGAATTGAAGCCAGAGAAATGCCCACTATTTTTGGCATTTTTTTTTTGTTTTTCAAAATTTTTAATTTTTTTTATAGTTCGTTAAGTGGAATTAAAAAATCTGAAGTTTTCTAAAATTAAAAAAAAAAAAAATCACTAAAAATGAAAAAAAATCAATAAAAAAATCACAAAAAATAAATCCCATATATATTTTAAAAACACAACTTCAATTAAAAATGCCCCTCTTGATATTTGTCAATAATATAAATTTCTAACGAAACAAAACATTATAATATTCAATTGCATAAAATTGTGACAATTAATCAGAGTACGGGATCAATGACCTACACACCACCACAACTTGATAAATCTATATTTATATAAAACTAGGTGATGAAATGTCATTTTTCTTGGTGACCTGAATGATGCAAACACACTTGGCCCTAACTGTGAATTTCTTCCATTGCCTTATCCTGACATATTTATTGATCTTATCAGTAAGGCTGATCTGGTATAGTTTTTATCAGATATAAAATGAATTTAAGTTAAGACTGCAAATAAATTAAATTATTTAACTTAAAATAAATATTAAATACTATTTGATTTATTTAATTTATCATTTATTATATTTTTGCAGGTATCAACCTAAATTTGGATGTTCAAGTGGAATTTGGATCATTCCAAAAACTTGAGCTCGTCACATATAAGTAAAACATAACACATTCAAAAATGGAATATAAGGACAAATTAAAATTACAAAAACTAGAAAAAAGGATTCAAAGAAGCCAAGGTGTTCACCTGAAAGCAAGCCTAGCATTAATCCTTACAAGCAGTACATCGAAGCACCAAACATTTAATAAGCAAGTCAAACAAATATTCAAGAACACTAACACACTGCATTACAATGTACTATTAAAATATTGTCATCATCAAAATCACATAATCAACATCTTTGTCAGTTCAAACAAATAAGATTGGCAAATTGGAAGTTCAGCACCTTCTTCAATATTGTCTGAAGGTAAGATTGAGGCGTCCCGGCCGAAGATTTGCCTCTCTCAAAGCTTGAGGGGCTGAATTGGGGATAATGGATTGCACACCATGAAAGACATTCCTAGACTTGCCACCGAAGACCAATACATCACCTGAATCCAACTGAACTTTCTTTGCCTTTTCTACATCCCTTTCATCCCCATACAGAAATTCTGCTGAATCACCAACAGAGAAAGAGACAACGGGTAATTCTTTACGTAAACTCTCTTCACTTTCATCACAATCCTACAATTCACCACAAAAAGAAAAAAAGAAAAAAAGAAAAAGGTATTTGAGAATTCTTGAGGTAAAATAAGAAGCAAGGTATTATGAACATCATGTTATGTTTCTCTAGTTAATAGTGTTGAGAGCACAGTATGGTAAACCAGTTATTTATCTTTAGAAAGAAGGAAATGGTAACATCAACAACGGATATTTATGGACAAATCATGATGTTTGTAGCTTGAAGCAGTTATGATGAAACAAAATAAACTACATGATAGATCAACTAACCTGATGTAGACCAAGTCGCCCACTAGTTGTGTAAAAGTTCACAATGCATATATCCGGAGACATATCTGGAAGTCGGTCTCCTGCATTGTTTAACCCTAACCCTATTTTCTTTTCAATTAAAGCCTGGGAATCTAGAATTGCTCTTTTAACCAATTCATTAAATTCATGAGGAATTTCAGGTGGTATAGAACCATCAATTGCCCGCTTATCGCCATATTTCGTCTCTGGATCCCAATTCCAACCAAGACACATCATCTGTAGTCGAAGCTTTGCCCCATCTCTATAACCAGGTTGGTAAAACCCTCCCGGGCCAACACCAAGCTCTCGACATTTCTTTACTATTTCAACCTAAATGATTTAGATGGGTATATGCAGTTAGGTAACATAGAATACAAACATAAGATGACCAAAATAGTAAGAACTCTTGGACAATTGTGTATTACACTGTAAACATGAATCTATTCTCAAAACAACATGCATTTGTTAGCTAAAAAAAGTCAGAATAGAAAGAACAGTCAAAAGCACTACCTGATCACTCTGTGTGATGTAACCTTTTAATAAGACCATCCCTGGCCTAAGAACTAGTTGAGACCTTTGAATCCGGTTTCCTTTGATCCTCGCATTTAAATATATAGGAGATTTTCCAATTTTTGCAAGACAGATATCGAATGATCCAGGCACAGAATCCGTTTCTCTTGCACCCAATGAATTCTCGGGTTGAGTATGGGGAAACTCGTGTCTTTTAATAGGTGAAGGCACATGCTTCTTCCCAAAATTGGTAAGCAAAGAACCTTCTTCATTGAAGCTAAGATTTGCCACAGACGAAACATCAAGTTTCGATGAAACAATGTCACCTGGCCTTTCCTCTAATCTTTGCTCATTCCAAGTTTGGCCAAACTGTATCTTATCAGGCAAAGGCACATGCTTCTTACCTAAACTTGCCGGCAAAGAATTTTCCTCATTGCTTCTAATATTTGGTACAGGTGAAACCTTAAGTTGTGATGAACCAATGTCCCCTGGCCTTTCTTCTAATCTTTGCTCAACCTCAGTTCCCAAGTCAACCTTAGTTCTCCTTTTAGACTTAGAGCTAGAACCGATACCAGCAGAAAGTGAAGGCCATTCCTCTTCCTTGACAGCATCCGAAGCAGACAAGGATTTGGGATGCTCTGAGACAATGTTCCGCTGAAAAGTTTGTCCTCTAACATTGGAATATCCACCCTTGGCACCGATGGAAGCATCAGGTGGAGGCCTATTAACACCAACCTATGCATTTGCATAAACAAGATCAAAACAAAAAAAGAAAAGAAAAAAGAAACACAATGAATGTGGGTATGTCAAAAAATGTGTTTCAAGCAAATAAATATACAATCAGGATTGATCATATGCAGTGATGTACTTCAACACAACTACTGAAATTGCTACGTTCAAGGAAAAAATGAATTATTGAAAATGCTTCTAACATGATCAATATTCCATCATAATCAACTTCGGTGCAGATGCGACACATTTGTATTTTTACATATAAATTTTTGGATCATTAAATGATTACGGGGCAATTTTATTAATGAGGAATACCATTCAGTAGTTTCGGGCAGTTAATAAATTGAAAAAATCGTTCTGAAGTTATCGGATGTGACATTCTTGTGAGATAATAAAATAAAAATAAAAAACATGACAGGGTTTACACCTATGCTTTATATAATAGAATATAGTGTCGCAATTACTAAAATCCAAACATCATTTAATGCTCCTCAGATAGTTACAAGTATAAAAATGTTAAAAATTCAACCCACCAAATTTCAGATAGGTTACTGACAATTGTGACTTTAACAAGTAGGCATATATATATACACAAAACTAATAAAACACATAAAAATATCAACTTTAAAACCCTAATGATCATCAATTACAATAAAGATTAGTTTTTTCACATCAATTTCTATCTTCTCTGTTTTTCATCACAGTGAATTTCACACACCCAACTCAAAATCCCCCAAACAAACAACAATCATTGATCTAGCAGACCAACACCGTAACAAAATTAAAGTAGAAAAACTCACAGTTCCGCGGCGAATGCCAGAACCTCGGGTAACTCCCGAACCCCTGCCGCTGCTCATCTTTCCGGCAAAAGAAAATTGCCGAGAAAACTGGCGAGAAAATGGGGGTCGCAAATAGGTTGTGCAGAAGAATCTCAAGAGCATGAGATGAAAATGGGAGATATATAGATATATATAGGCAGAAAGTAGAGTAATCGAGATATATATAGACAGAAAGTAGAGTAATCGTTGCTTGTTCTTCAAGCTATGAAGTGAATTTTGGCATTCAATTTTGAGATTTTTGGGGGTGAATTTGTGTGATTGGTTAATGGTGCTTCGTATCGAAGCATCTGTGGAAGGGAACACGGAGAGTCGATGACGGGACAGTCTGGGCCGAGGCCCACTGGGCTTCTATGGGGTCTTTTAGGAAGCGAAAAAAAAACAAAGGGATTAACTTTTTATTCATTTTGAGTTATACCATCTCTTATATTTTTTATCTATAAAAAAATAAAATAAATTAAAAAAACTAAAAAATTAATTTTTTATCAACTTTTCAAAACATCACAATATATGCAAACCCCTTTAATCCAACTCTTGGCCCTTTTATCAATATTTGGTTGAGGGTCCATTTGGGTCATTATGTGCCTACTTTGTCGATGTAGACCATCTCCAACGGTTCATCAAACTTGGCATCAAATTTGAAATTTGGTGAAAAAATCACTTTTTAAAACTCCAACGGTTTCACCAAACTGGTATTAAATTGAGAATTGAACAAAAAAATCATCAAACTGAGAACATGATACAGATTTCAGCAAATTACTGTTTGTGACCGTTGGAGGAGAGGAACCGGTTGCCCGACCGGTTGACCAACCGGTCGACCACGAAAAGGTTCAAACAGTTCAAATGGGTAGGTTCAAATAATTCAAAAAAAAAAAATATTTTTGCCTTACCGGTCAACCAGCCGGTCGACCACTAAAAGTTCAAACAGTTCAAATAGGTAGGTTCAAACAATTCAAAAAAAAAAAAAAATTGCCTTACTGGTTGACCAGCTGGTCGACCGGCCGGTCGACCAACCGGTTGTCCTTGGAGCAGATTTGATAAAAATCAACCATTGGAGGATTCTGTATCAAATTGAGAAAAACGGTTCACCTAATTTTTCACCAAATCTGAGTAAAAAAATGACTATTTTCTCAGTTTGATACAGAATGCTCCAATGGTTGATGTTCATCAAATCTGCTCCAGGGACAACCAGTTGGTCGACCGGTAAGGCAATTTTTTTTTTGAATTGTTTGAACCTACCTATTTGAACTGTTTGAACCTTTTAGTGGTCGACCGGTAAGGTAAAAATATTTTTTTTTGGAATTGTTTGAACTTACCCATTTGAACTGTTTGAACCTTTTCGTGGTCGACCGGTTGGTCAACCGGCTGGTTGACCGGTTCCTCTCCTCTAACGGTCACAAACAGTAATTTGCTGAAATCTGTATATTGTTCTCAGTTTGATGATTTTTTTGTTCAATTCTCAATTTGATACCAGTTTAGTGAAACCGTTGGAGCTTCAAAAAGGGGCTTTTTCACCAAATTTCAAATTTGATGCCAGGTTTGGTGAACCGTTGGAGATGGTCTAAATCATTTAATTTTTAGTATTTTGTGAGTACAAACAAAATTAAGTTGATTGAATATTAATAATAATTACATTTTTTTTTATTTTTTAAAGATAAATGTAATTCAAATAAAATGTAATTCAAATATATAGTACTGATATCAGATTAATTTAATTTTTTTTTATTATGAATGATTTATGGGAAAAATTAAAAAATTGAACTGTTCAAATTAATGAAGTAAATCTAAGATGGACTCATAATATATTGTATTTTCCCTAGAGAGAGAAAATAGTTTAAAAAAAAATTCATTAAACTTTGACAAATGCATATACTTTCTCTATCTCAAAATATTAGTCTTTTATTTCATTTTTTATTATTCTAAAATATTAGTTCATTTTCAAAAATTAAGGAATAAAATAATATGAATTTATTATTTTACCATTATTTTAAATACATCAATTACACACAAAATACAATTATGACAATCAATATTTCTAAAAAAATGTACTATCAACGTATAATTTTGAAAAATTAATATTTTTAAAATATAATAATTATACTATCAAAAAAATTTAAATTTCTTAAAAGAAATTATTTTAGACTGAAGGAAGTAGTATGCAATACACTTCTATTCTCTGGCTCATCTCCATCCAACATCCTCTCTCTCTCTTGGATATCAAACCACATGAGAGGGTGAAATGGTAGCAAAATTGAGTAACTTATCATTGTGGTGACCCACTTAGATTCCCAATTCATTGTGATAGTACTGCTAATCGTAGGCCCACGCTTCAAACGTTGTTTGTTGATCACTGAGCCCACCAGGGTTCCTGCACAAAAGCCTAGTGGGGAACGAGAGTCCTCCAACGGACCCTCCAACGGACAAGTTAGAAGAGAGAGGGGTTAATGGCAAATGATCGGAGAATAACGATAGGGCACCTAACCTTTTTTGTGTCTTGGAAGCCTCCTTATATCCTTTGTTCATCATTTCCTTGTCTACTCCGACCTGTCACGTTGGCCGAAAGTCTACGCTCTAGCTTCCCTTGTTTATGGTGAGGCTATCTGCTCCGACGTGAAGGGATTATCGCATTTAATGCTGTAGGGGCTTCATTAATAGTTGATGTGTGGTGCAATAACTCTGCAGGATCTTTGTCTGCTTACGTGGCTGGTTCTCCTCTTGACAACTGTTTGGATGCCATTGGTTCTTGGTATAACGTTGGGTTCCAGAAATGTTGGGCTCTAGTGTTTGAACCGTGTATTGAGCTCTAAGTGGTGGACCAAAAACCTTTATAGGCCCAACTATGTCAGTAGTCCCCCATTCCCAAGTGCAGCTTCAGTCCAACGAAGGGAATAAGGAAGAAGACTTGGCTTGTGGGTGGCCAAGTGGAAGAAGAGCCAACCGAGAGGAGGACCGACAGCAAAGGGGGACCAAGGGAGAAGACCGACTGAGAGGAGGGCCGACTGCGAACAGTTATCGAACTAGAAGACCGACTGTGAGGACGGCTGACCGCGAAGGGAACAGAGCGAGAAGACCGACTGTGAGGACGACTGACCGCGAAGGGTTACCAAGCGAGAAGACCGACTATGAGGACGGCCGATCGCAAAGGGTTTCCAAGCGAGAAGACCGACTGAGAGGAGGGCCGACCGCGAAGGGAGACCGAGCGAGAAGAGGGCCGACCGAGAGGAGGACAGACTGCAAAGGGAGACCGAGGGAGAAAGTGGTAGCGCGCGGGGCTTGAGGAGTGGTGGGGCACGTAATGATGTGAAGTGGAGTAGACAGGTAACGGGAAAGGGTTAGTGAATTGTGGTCGTGCACGTGGCACGATCCCGTGATAAGGGAGGTGATGCGTTAGCAGGAAACGAAGGGGTAGAACTAATATGGGGCGTGGAAAAAGTGGGGGCGGAAGCTTTCGAAAATTTTCAAACTGGGGAAATTTAATCTCGATCCTTGGAATATAGGCAAACCGTGGGCATTTGGAATTATTTGTTTTACTTACCTTTTCACGAAAAACCAACACATCCTAGAGGTGAACTTATTTGTTTCGTGTGACACGCCTCTGCAACACTTTGCGAACTTCCTTGTGCCAGCGTCCAAAGCGACACGCAGACACATAGAAGGGATGGCTCGAGATGAAGTGCCAGCCATGAGGCTAGAGGCATTGGGAGAGAACGACGCAGTGGAGTTGGCTGAATAATACAACGCAGAGAGGATGGAGGAAAGGGGGACTGGCAAGCGGCACGGGCTCACCAAGCGACAATGATTGTAGCCGCTAGGCCAATTAGCCAAGTAGAACAGGACCACTGGCACACCAAGGTCGACAAGTCTATGTTCACGGCGGAAGAGTTAGAAGAGGTAAGAAGAAAGTACCAAATTTCGGCGGAGATAAAGCTGAGGTTGCCCACGTCTAAGGAGAGAGCGTCGGATGCACGGCTAGCGGAATTTACGCTATATGAGGAGGCATTGCCGGGGGAGGGGGGAGGGCTGAGGCTGCTGCTCCTCCAAATAGTAGTGGACGTACTGAATCGACTGGAGGTGGCGCCAGGGCAGCTGATGCCCAACACATGGAAAATACTAATGGCATGCGCGATCGCGTGGCCATAGGCGACCGGGGGGGATGGCTATGACAGTGGAGGAATTCTTCTCTTGCTACAAGGCCTTCGGACAACAAGAAACGTGGGTGACCCTATAGACGGTAGCGGGCCGAGGTTTAGTGGCAGGCTTACCACCTTCAATAAAGGGGTGGAGGCCGAGATGGTTCTATGTATCGGCGAACGGTAGGAGGGGGGTTCGCATAACGTGAAAATTCCCCACAAAGTTAGTGGAGCCAAGGCTAGATGCGAAGTCTGAGAACAGGGTGAAGCAGGTGAAGGAGTGGAGGGAGAAGGAGGGTGCGAAGTGGGATAACCTGGTCCGACCTTCAACCCTATTTGCCTTGAGCCTAGGGCTGCAACCGACGGAGGAGGATCTTGCGCGAGAGGAGTTGGAGGCAAGGAGGAAAGCGGAGGAAGTGGAGGAACGGAGAGCGTTCGCCAAGGCGGACAGGTATAAGGAAACACAGTTGGGGTCTGCGCCTAAACCGGTGATGAGGGAGCAAGTTCGACCATGACCTAAACCGTTGGGAGACAAAGACCTAACTGACTTTGCCCCACTACCGCCTCCAGTAGACCCGCTGAAAGAGAGGGGCAAACAGGAGGTGGAGGCGGTGTTAAAGAAGATGAAGAAGAAGAGGGCGACGGCAGAGGGGAGTAAGGGCGCCCCTGTTTTAAAGAAGATGAAGGAGGGCAGGGCGCAAGAAGCTCCAGAAGGAGAGAGTGTCCATGTGGTAAAAGAAACCATGGGACCAAGTGCCCAAGTGGTGGAAGAAGACATGGGCCCAAGTGCCCAAGTGCTGAAAGAAGACATGGGCTCAAACACAAAAGTGGTGATGAGGGTGGCGTCTGCGCCAGAAGTATTCCCCAGTCCTGGTGAACGAAAAGTTGGGGTTAGTAGACCAGAGGCAAGTGCTTCGTTGAAGACTGCCATGTACTGCATGCGCGCGGTGGCAGGTTGATCGTTAGAAGAAGGAGGGGAGACCAGGGTCATTGTCGACTGTCTCGTTGGAGTAGTAGAAGATGCAGCCGTGCGGTCAGTGGTGTGATTAACAGAGGCC